CTGGGGCCCACCTATAGGCCCCGGGGGCCCACCTATGGGCCCCGGGGGCCCACCTATTGGCCCCGGAGGACCGCCTACGGACCCCGGCCACGGAGCACCAGGGGGACCAGTTAACCCTAGTGGCCCAGGAGGGCCAGGGGGACCAGGGAGCCCAGGGGGCCCAGCGGGCCCTGGGGGCCCGGGGGGCCCAGGAGTCCCTGGGGTCCTCTGGTGCCAAGGTTGTCCGGGGCCTCCGGACCACCAGGATGCCCCCGGGGGGGGGCCGTTCAAGGAAGAGCCAGCGGGGTCAAACAACGCTGAAGAGCCCGAGCTGCCGGGGCCCCCAAGGGCCCCCGTATTCTGCGAATGCCGTGATCCCCAAGAATAGCGGGAGTCCTCTTGGGGCCCTGGAGCTGACAATGACCCTGAGTTCATATTAGCATCCACACCCCAGGGGGCCCCCCGACCGGGCGCTTCCCCCAAAAGTCCTGGGGACCAATGACTGGGGAGCTTATCTGGAGTCCCTTCAGCCCATGGGGCTGGGGGGCCCCACTTAGACGGAGCGCCCCACCGGCTCGTATTCCCTGAAAACTCGTCGAACCCCACAGTCGGCGGGCTCCCCAGAAGTCCGGGGGCCCCTTGACCTCCTGAGGACAGTGGACCTGCGGGGACCCCCAAAGTCCCTGAACCTCTACTTGATGAGGCTTTTAAAGACCCTGTACTACCTGCGCTTTTGAGTCTGGGGCCCCCTAAAGCACCCAATCCCTCTCCTGCGTCAGAGCCTGAGAGGGGCCCCGGACCTGTAAGACTCCCCGAACTCGATGAAGACCCAAAAGAAAAGGTGGGCTTCAACCCCCCTCGGGCACTGAAGGCTGAGGGGGCGTCCAGACCCGGTGGGGCTCTAGGGCTTCGTGGGTGCCCCGAGTCTTGTGGAGACCCAAAGTCTGGTGCACTCCCCAGGCCTGGTGCAAGCCTAGTGCGTGGTGGGAGCCCCAGGCCTTGAGGGGACTCGAAACCTTTTGAAACTTCGCTGCTTGGGGGGCCCCCTAGGCCTTCTTGTGAGCGCCACACACCTGGTAGAGCCTGCAGGCCTTCTTGTGGGCCTCGCAGGGATGGGGGCCCCCAAAGGCCTTCTTGTGGGCGCCACGGGCCTGGTGGGCCCAGCAGACCTTCTTGTGAGCGCCGGGAACCTGGGGGGGCCTGCAGGCCTTCTTGGTGGTAATGCCCGCCTGGGGGGCCCCCCAGGCCTCCTTGTGGGCGCTGCAGGCCTGGTACGGCTGGCAGGCCTTCTTGTGGTAGACGCGGATCTGAAGGGGCCTGAAAACCCCTGGGGGGCATAGAGTCTCTTGAGCCCCAGCGGCTTGTGCTCTGGGGGCCCCTGGTGAAGCTTGGGGGCCCCGGAAACCAGGACTCCCGGCTTCGTGAGCTTTGGGGGTCCGTAGGGGCCCCGGGGCCCCCAAAGCTCCCTGCAGCACCAGACGGGGCCTGAGAGCCCCCGAAAGGGGCCCTTGGCCCCTCTACACTCCAGTGTCTGAAGCCCTCTGAATCTCCGCATGCACTGGAGGGCATCCTGTAGCGGTTTGGCGTCTCTGCAAGGAGCCGAACACTGGGCCCCCAGGTGACCCCTGGGGGCCCCGGAGTCCCGGGGCCCCTCAGCCGCTGGTCAACGAGCCACCAGCAGCTGGTGACAAGGAAGAGAAGACTGAGAGAGACAGTCACGGTGGCGAAGATGGCTACAGAGAGGGCACGGGCCCGCCTGCGCTTTTCGCCGCGCGCCAGAACGAACCTGTCACCTGTTGTTGCTGCTGTTGCTGCTGCTGCTGCTACTGCTGCTGCTGCTGCTGCTGCGGTGGGAGTGTCTGGGGGCGGTGGCGGAGCTGCAGTTTTTGCAGGAAGCCCGGGCTCCGCGTTTGGGGGCTCCGCAAGAGCCAGGGGCAGCTGCTGAGGCATCGTGGGCTCCCTCTGGCGCTATTACCTCAGGGGGAGACACATGGGGACAGCGGAAGGAGGTAATGGAGACAAAGATGACAAAGACAGGCTGCGATTGTTCAGCAGAAGATATGGGCGCCGGAAAGAGACGAAAAGAGAGCAGCAGCAAACAGAACCGCTGGCTGGGACGCAGTCCCCTCTGTCTCGCTAGATGCCCGTGTGGGGCCCTCGTTGCAACGCCAAACAGTTGCGGGAGCGGGTTATATTCTAAGCCAAGCAGTGCGGCATGCGCGTTTCAGCGCTGCTGGTATTGTTGCTGCTGCTGCTGCAGTTGCTGCTGTTGCTGGCGTTACGGGAACACCTGAGACCTGCACATCCTGTTCTTCGCTGTTCCCCCGCCGAACGAGTCTATTTCAATGATATATTAGTTGCCCCTGTTTTGTTTTATTATCATCTATTTATTACTTGAAGAAGAGTCCCGCATGCAGCTGTGTGGCCAACCCCCCAGAACACATGAGGTTACCTCTTCTGGCGTGAGGACCGGCAGAGGCACTCCCCGCAGTTGGAGTTGCTCCTTGCCGTTGCACTTTAGCTGCGAGCTGCTGGCAGTTTTCGTTTCCCTAGCATGTTTTAAATAGAGAAAGTGTATAAAGTTTTAATTATTCCTCATTTATTTAGGGATGTAGCCCCTTGAACTGAGTGGTAGGCCAGCGCGCGAGCAGCATCGATGGTGGTGGGCGCAACCGCTGCAGTCTCGCGGGAAATTCCCATTGAGAGCTGGGGAGGAACCGCACAAATGCATTTATTTATGATTAATAAATTTTTGTTGTTGCACTTTGCTGAAATTGCGAAGGAATAAGACGGATATGAAGCTGCACTCGCGGCGGCCGGGCTGTGGAGCCTGACCTTAAGCTAACCTACAGGCAGTCCTTGAAAACGGGGAATGGCCAAGATTTACACAGGGCCCTAAGCAATGCCAAGGCTATAGCCAAAGGCCACATGAGGCACTAGACACCACAAAATACGCACCACTGGTACAGGAAAAAGAGCAGAGGCTGCGGTAAAATGTGGTGTGAGGAGCAGCAGCTGCTGTTGGGCTACAGCTGGAGCTGGCAGCCCCGCGAGACCCCACTTACAGCGGTAAAAAGCACAGCCGCAGCTTAAAGAAATGTGTGGTAGTTTGCCCAGAACCGTAGGGAGTTACAGCCCAAATAAGGGTGATCCGGAGACGCGAAAATAGCGCGGAAGGAGCAATCGCTGAGTTATTAGCTGAACAGCTTAGCTAGGACAGCATGGCCCTCCTTATCATCAATTCTAGAAGCCATGAGCCCAATAAACACTGCAGGGACCTTCAACGCAAACCTCGAAGATCCTCATCTTCCCCGAACTCTCGGCAGTGCTCACAGCTGCACCTGCAAGCCCCGCCAACAGAAGCTACCTCCATGGGCCGGCTTCTGGTGCAGGCTTAGGCGGCACGCAGCTCTTTGCTTTGATGCTCACTTTGTTTTAGGCATTTGCCTGAGGAGCTCTGCCAGACCAAAGAAATACAGTTGGAGGCTCTCTAGGGCTTTTTCCTTGTGGCAGATTTGACTCCCTTGCTATTAACTCGCTTTATACTGAGAAGCAGGGTGGACATAACGTGGTTTTTGCCGCGGGAAAGCACTTAAAAGGAGCTCTCCCATTCACCAAAATGCCCTTCACTGATCGTGGGCCAATTCCAGGCCTTAGAGCTTTATGCTTAACCTAGCTACGAGGAAGGCCGACAGGATTGTCGACCTTCCAGGTCATTTCACAGCTTGTTCCATCACCTTACGTAGGCCATACAATTATTCAACTTCCCGCGAAGTGCCACACTTGGTGAGAAGCTGTTGTGTCACTAAGTGCAGTCCAACCGTCACTATCCACGCTTGAATTGTCTAGGTTGATTTTGCTGCTGCTCCCTGTTGCTGTTGCTGTATTGTGATCCTTACTTTCTGTTTCCTGCTTTTTTCTCTTTGCTGTTTGCTGATGCTGCTAGGTGTTGCTGCTAGGTGCTGCTGCTAGCTGCTGCGGCTAGCTGCTGCGAGGTGCTGCTGGCCGCTGCTCACTGCAGTCATCATGGGATGATCGTCGCGTTTGTTCACTCCTAGAAATTTACTTGATAATAAAAATAGTGGCCTGGCTTCTTTGCACTTTTCCAGCTAGCATTCTAAGGCAGTTAAGAGTACAGTCGCAGATCAAGTGCTCGCTGAGCCGTTCACCAATGGGCGTATGTAGGGGACCCCACACTCCCACGAGCGGAGCAATTTTCACGAAAATGCCTCATGCAACGGTGGTTATTTAAGAATTACACTATGAAAGCAATTCACACGTTCACATCATACCATGTAGAGAATACTAAGGCGCAGTGAGAGCCGAAATTTCCCACCACACACCCCAGCCCCCAACCAACTCAACGGCGAAACAGCCACGTTTCGACAGCCAGGTCTCGAGACTCCCAAGCCCGGAACTCAGGTACGTCAATCTGTAATGCCCAAGCCCTATTCCTGCTCCAGGAATTAAGGCTTCAGTAAAATCTTTTTCAAAAAAATTTTGCACACCTGTGCTTTTATTCTGCTTGTGCATGTACGAGGTTGGGTTTACCCCCAAAATCAAACTGCGTTTGGGGCTGGCGACGCAGTACACCTCCCCGAACAAATGTGAGTGACGCATCCTCAAAGTATTCATAGAACAATTCATAAGGTATTGAATTGTTTCTTTTCCCCGAGAATGTCTCGCTGCGGATGCCGATTCCCGTCTCAAGCACTTGGGGGATTGTGAGGGCCAGCCCACAGGGAAGCACCAGGGTGCTGAATGGTTCGCATTCTCCTCAGCTTTTGGTCATCAGGCAGTCCAGTTCATTTACATTGGTGCTTTTGGGTATTTTTAATGTGTGGCGCTCCCAGTTTTGAAGCTTTGCAAAATTGGTGTGCAGTTGGAGAGCCGGGACGCCATCGTTTGGAATGGTGGTCACATCCCCAGATCCTCCAAGCTACTCCCCGCAGTGTGTTGTCCTCGAAGTGTAGTTCATTTATTTGTGGGTGTGTAACTAGTGTTACGGATTGGTCATTTCGATGGCCCAAACTTCCGTTTCTACTGAATTTGCGGCGTCGTTGTGTTGGTTTAAGACGGAGGGAAGGCCAGACGGCATGCAGCTACCCAATACTGAGCGTACTATTTGTCGACATGTGACTCGTGTTACGGCTTGGTCATTTCGGCGACTAAGGCGTTTGTTTTTACTAAATTTGGGGTATGGGCTGGGTCGTGGTGTGCGTCGGCAACAAAGAAGCCGGCGAAAATGGCATGCAGTTGCCCAATACTGAACTTGCAAACTCAGCCTCCAGGCTTAATGGAGTTGAGGAATTCGAGATGATGCAAGTGGCGGTGCTGCACTTATGTAGGGTTGATCTATGAAGAGGGGTATCAACGTATGTGTTCAACACTAGGGCGGGTTTCAGGGACCATGACTGTCTCTGTGCCTCGAATATCAACAAAAATTTCAGCAGAAAGTCTACGTATCCACATGATTTTGTGCACAGGCAGTAGTGCGGCCAATACTGTGTTTTGCAGTGGAGCCGCTCACGCTTCACGCGGAGGGCAACAGTAAAGCCGCGACAACAAGACAAGTTGGCGCAGGTCCCATTTTCTCGACGCTGTATTTGCGCGGAACGACTCAAGATTGATGTGGATGCGGAGGTTAAATTCACATTGTGTAGTGTTTAGGCACCGTTGTTCATGGTTGTATGTTGATATCACGTTCAGGACAGCTTAAAATGCGAGAAAGTGTTTCAAACAAACACTGTAGTAATTAGCTGATGACGCCAGATCATAAGGGTTTGCATGGGCGAAACGCGTATAGAAATGTTTGCGGGGGAGCACTTCGTACTCCTCAATGGTGTGGAAATGGGAGAGTTTGTGCTTTCCGGTCTTTTGATTGCGACTGAGGCTGTTGAAGTTAGCCTTCTGAAGCGTATATTTAGGTTAATGCTGCGTTAGCCGTGGGGTACTGCCGTACTTGCTGCAGTTGCGGTGCAACGGGGAGGGGTGCCCTGTCTTCGTTTGCCGTTTTCAGTCTGGAAGTGTGCAGGTGAAGTCGCGTGCTGCACTAAACTATTACATGCATAAATGGAGACACCGATGGGCGGAATGATTGCGTATGCTCGCTGCTATAAAATTTAGTTGATAATGAAGATGCTGGCCTGGCTTCTTTGCGCCTTTTAGCCAACATCCCAAGACAAGAGCACAGTAGCAAGTCAAGTGCTTGCTGAATTGTTCACCAATGGGCGTATTTAGGGGACCCCGCACTCTCACGTGCGGAGCACTTTCCACAACAATTCGCGTGCAACGGTGGCTGTTTAAGAATTATACTACGGAAACAATTTAGACGCTCGCATCATACCAGAGGATAGGAAGGCGCAATGAGAGCCGCAGAAACAGCTCAGCAAAAATGAATTCCTATGTGCAGCAGCCAGCATGTAGCATTGCCGAGGGGAACTACTAATGCCATTTGACTTTTGCGATGTGAAGTATAAGTGGTCTTGTTGGTTGCATGAAGTGGAGCGCCAGGAATAAGAGGAGATACGTCGTAGCGGTCTACTTTTGACAGGAATGTCAGTCAGCAGGGCGGTAAACAAGAGAATGAGGGGAATGCCACGCAGCAGAAGCAAACGACTACACTGCATGCTCATACAGAAAACACAAATTTGTGCCTAGAAAGCAAATGCGGTGTCGCTGCTGCTAGGTGTCTATCGGGCCTTCAGCAGCTATCACACGAGTATTGGCTTTGCGAAGTAATATGCAGAAACAAGATACGCGGCTCATGAACGTTTGACGCAAAAAACGTCTAGCCCACAGGAGTGGCCGGCTGGCTTTGGGGCTGTAATGTGAAATGGTTTGTGGAGTGCTCCCAGAACAGCCTTAAAAAGCGAAAATTTGGCACCGCACAAGGGACTGTTCTCCACGTTCTGCGCAACATTCTGTCAAAAAAAGGACTCTAGTTTGGC